ATGCTAAACCAGCTTTGCATAATAATTGAAATCTCTTCTGCTGGTGAAGTTTATTTCATTTCAGTTTCTCAACTTTGAGCTAGGATAGTTGAATAAACTAAATTGGAAAAAAAATTCGGGGGAGGAGGGAAGAGACTGCATTTCCTTTTCCAAACTACAAATAAAAATGAGGTGTGAAAGGACGAGATCCATTAGCTCTGAAATCAAGTTCATTATGACCAGAAACAATCAACTACACATGAAAAATTTTAACATATCCGCTTGAAATGCCAGACGTCTTTCCAATTAGAGGTGCTGAATATGCAAGGAAAAATAAAAAGGTACTTATTTAAACTGAAGAAAGTTACAATACCATTTTTGTGCATTTAATTGAGTCCTAATTTCCATCCAAATACAGCTGGACACAGATCATGAGGAAAAAAAAAAAATCGATTCAGTAATTAAATGGATTATTCAACTTTTTATTGTAAAGTAACAAGGACCCTGTGTGCTGAAGGGCTGGCTTGCATATGCTGAACTGTATAATTGCTTAAATAACTAAAGGAGATACTGTATCCTCCTGTTAGCAAAATAGTACCAAACTACTGGTACACTTTTGAATCTACCTCTTTAGATAAAGAACTAATGCAAGAACAGATTAAAATGACAGTTGCTTACGTCAAAGTTTCCTGCCTGCTGAGATAAACAAATCCTTCAGCAAACTCTGCTTTCCAAAATCCCCTCCCCACCAACTCTCAGTCACTTTTTCTGTCTTCTTTTCATTCCTCCCATGACCTCCTATTCCTTGGCACACCTATGTAGTCCTCAAGCCTACTTTCTGTAGGTTGATGATGTTAAGAGTTCCCCAGAATCACCACCTATATTTTAATTGCAACTCCAAAATGTCCATGGAATACACTTACAACTGCATCCCAGTTACCTCCTTTGAACAGGAAACTTAACTTCACTGTTTATTAAATGAATTCTTTCCCTGAAGAGAACAAGCGGCGCACTTTATTTACTTAATTTAAGTAGTAGTATGCTCAAGTTTTATTGTATAAAATACTGCTGTGTCCCATGACTTAATAGCCACCACTTCTTCAAGGTCTTCCTGGACATGCCTTAGAAGTGCTGGCTCTCAGCGTATTACCAGGAACAGAATATTGGCGGTACCAGTTTTTTAGAATCAGAAATGTGATGAATACTATTCAGTGCAAGAACTCCAAGGTCCTCGTATTCTCTGTATTTCATAGACATTCGGGCTGGAAGGGACCCCGGAAGAAGATGCACCTCACACTTTCAGCACGTTGTGTTACTTGCAGTCGTGGAAGGTGTAGCTACCAGACAGAAGTCATTAAGTTCAAATTGCCCAAAGCTAGAAACTGTTGTAAACGGCATAATTTACAATAAAAACCAGATAACAAAACCATTCTATTGACTACATCATCATAATTCACTGAACGCATTTTTGTGTAGAATATAGTTTAACACAGTTGTGCAATAGAGTTACTGGAACAAATCTGGTTCTTTTGATGAATACTCTTAGATTTACATCCTTGATCAGCTTGTGGTCAGATGCATAACACCCCAACATTCATGAAAAATAATTAAGCTATATTCTCTAGAGAGAGTTAGAGAGGCGTTTTCATTTTGTTTTGTTTTTTTAAATGATGGATAGAGTATGAAGTTACTTATAAAACATTAGATCCCTTTTGGCAGGCTTCTGTTTATTTTAGTAAAACTACATATTAAAGAATTAAGGGAAAACAGTGCGATATTCAGCAGCATTTCCAGGTAACAATCTTGATTACTAAATAATTTAACTCTCCAGCAGAGCTAAAAGGGGTTAAAAACCCCCATTAGTTCACAAATGATTAGCTGGAAAAAAAAAAATCCATTATGGAATCTGCCTGAACTAAAGCATAAAAGTACTACTGATGAACAGTACCATGAAATAAAGCTATTGCCAACATCCACATTGGTAGCAATTAAAGACCATTTGAAATCTAAACAATCTGTCATTTAGGAAAATTGTGGGGTGGGGTGGGGAGGGGAGGGGAGGAGGGGTTAAAAATAAAAGCAAATTATTACAAAGAATTACACCAGTGTTCACGTAAAAAAAAAAAAAAAAAATCTATAGTTCATCTAGGGGAACATATTCACACATGACATGCCCTGAACCTGTGAGCACTTACAGCCATGAGAAATCCTTATTTTCATGTACTGCGTTTTTCACAGAAGGTATTCACAAGTGTTTGGAGGGCCTAGAGGAAAGCTGGGCCCTCCAAACCATTTTATATTTAATAAAATGACTGATGTATAGTAGATGGCATAGAATATTCTAATTTTCTGCATTTGACCAATGTTCACTGTTCAGTTCTTAATGCTAAATGACTCAAGACCCTGAATATTAGTTTCCTCTGACTAGGATAGTACACAACAATATTTAATATCTGGCATCTTCACTAACTGAAGCTTACATAGTGTGAATACCTACCTGAAGATCTGAAAGTTACAAATAAGGAAAAGAAATGAACATTTGAGCAAAGTGATTTAGAGCCGGTTTCTTAGCTGATGTTACTCAAAGTTCCACTGAAGTCAATGGAGCGATGCCAGTGTACACCTAGGGAAGAACTACTCCATAAAAACAACCACCTCAGCCTTGTCGCAGTTACAAAAACTAACACATAAAACACTACACTGCTTGAAAAAAATTAAAAAAAAAAAAACGGAAACCAGCAAAAAGTCATTCATTAAAACTATCCTCACTTACCCAAGCCACTTGCTTGTATTCCAAGGTAAACATTAAAAGTGAGCTGAAGACAAAAATCAGCGATTAACACAAATCTGTCTGTCCCCGAGTAACTGTTGTTCAGCAATGAGAAACCTGATGTCCTGTCCAGTCAACCTCCTTGCTACTTTCATTATCTTGGACTGGATGGAAAAGAATATGAAAGATGCACTTGAAGTATTTTCCAAACTGACAGCTAGGCTGTTACAATTAAAAAGAGGTTGCTACTAACATGGCTCAAGTAACCAGAGTTAATTTTAAGTGTGTAAAACCCAAAGTAAAGCATTTCTTTTCACTTTTTTTAAAGGAAAAAATAAAAAGACTTTATTCTCCCATAGTAAAAGATAAAGAAAAATAAGATACTTCCTCTTAGCATGGACAATGAAGCAAAACAAATGTTAAATAAACGTTTGACCAAAAAGTCTTCGTCCATCACTCCAAGTCTGTAGCATTGCATCTAAAGTCTAATGAAAGCAAACTCTCAGACCAGTAGAGAGAGACTCCCTATGCCTTACAAAGGACGACTGCACCCGAAAGCTTGCTAAGAACAACTTTTTTCCAACTACTCAGTTGGTTTAGTAAAAGATATCACCTTTACCCAAAGAACCTTGCCTGCCTATGTCCTTAGATCAACACGGCTACAACCAAACACCCAGCATGCTAAAAGTAATATTCATATTCCTGTATACTTGTTTCTTATGACACGGAAACAGGAGATGAGAGCATTATTTAAAAGTTGGGGGGGGGGTTGTTTTTTGTTTTTTTTAAATGTTGTCTAATTTTCACAGGACTGACAACAAGCTTTCCCATCCTAGACCCTCAAACCCAGCAAACTGATGTCAGAGACTGGAGTTAAGGAAGTTCAGAGAACTACAAGAGACTTCTTCAGACAAGTCACAAAGTTTAATCTCAAATATCTGAATCAAGTATAACACGAGCCAACTTTTTGTCTCATGTCAGTCTGTGCAAACCACCTATGAGCAGATGCCCAAGTGAAGAATGACACTTCTCTAAATAGTGCCAGTATTAGAGACTGTATGCAATGTAAACATATATATAGGAGGTATATATATTTATACATACATTTTATAGTGTAAATACACACACACACACACACACACACACACACACACACTTTACATTTATACTGTATAGTATACACATACATAGAGGAAGTAAAGTAGAAAGCCTGGCAAGTTTTAATGAAAACCATTTATGAGAGCAAATTCAAGCCAGATCTATTTACCAACAGCAGAAGTTCTTCCAAAATTTTTTTTTTTTAAAGGCTGAAAGCTAGATAATACGTGAACATCTAAACCTTGTTCCACAATCCTCCATGAAGATTACTCCAAAAGGCTACACGGCCTGATACTAAGCCTCACACCCCTGCCAATCCAAGCACGACACAAGTACAGACTCCCACTGCTGTCAGCAGCAGTATATTTAACTTTCCTGGGCTCACTTTAAAGATTCAGCCACGGCAAAAAGAAAAACCAACCAGTAGACAGTTTCAAAATACAAGGCGCTGTGAATATTATGACCCAGGTAACAGAGTATTCAGAGAATATTTTAAAAGACAAAAATCTCATGGAGGCTTTTGAACGCAGCAACTCAACCCCAGCACGGGTCACCCCTCTCCTGCAACACGCAGAGCCGTGTCCCTGCAACCTGCTTCCCCGGCGTCTAGGTAACAACTTGAGAGAGGAAACAAAGCTGGAAGCAGACCCCTCTCCCATGCGAACAGAGGCGCCGGGGAGCTGCACGCCGGTATCCTCAGAGCGTAATTTGCGCTGAACAGGGAAGGGGGGGAGGGGGAGCAGTTTCCCCCCCACCAGGCAAACTTCATCTTCGCTCCTGCAGCTCAGAAGAGCAGCTCTATGAAGAGAGGCACAAATCACCACCCTGCACAGGGCCGGGAGGGCTGCCTTCCCCTTCATCCCAAGCACAAGGCAGAGTCAAGGCACAAAAAAAGCCCCAACCCTCCCCCAAGCAAGCCGAGACTTGGGGCGGTAAAACCCAGGCAGGGATGCGGCAGGGCGGGGGTGCCTGCCTGATGCACACACTCCGGCGGAGGGGGTTGCTTGGCCATGAAATGGTGGCTCCCACCATGGGAAGCGTTTGTGCAAAGCCAAGCCGGGGGGGGAGGCAGGGAAGGAGCCGGACCAGCAGCGCCGGGGCCTGGAGGAGCCGCCCGGCCTCCCCCAGGCCCCGCACCCCCCGCGGTACTTACGTGAAAACAAAAAATAAAGTAGTCGAGCCCACTAACAAGGCAGCTGCGGTGGAGACGGGGATGTATTTGGTAGGTTTAAACCTCTTTCCAGTGCTGCTGGGCATCCTGTGGCTTACACATCCCTGGGTAGGTGCGATGCGTGAGGCGCGGCGGGGAGGGGACGCGCGGCGCCGCCACTGCAGAGGCGCGGCGGGGAGCGGGGACAAGGCGCAGGGGAGCGGGAGAGGGATGGAGAACAGCTGACCTCCCGCACAGGAAATCCCACCCACACGGCCCGGCCCACTCGGCTGATGTCAACGAGCCCCTTAAGGTAGCGCCGGAGCTTCCCCCCCGCCCCCCCATGACAGCTCAGTCCCCAGTGCAAGGGCAGGGGGGTGGGAAGCCCCCTCCAGCCCCGGGCATCCTCCTGCCGAGCGCTGCCCGGGGGGGCGCCTGCACTCCCTGCAGGATCCGCTGCACAAGCCAGCGCTTCCTCGCCGCTCCGCTGCCTGAATCCCACCCCGGGTTTAACCCGCTCTTCAGCCCCAATTGGTAGGGTTAGGTATTTAAACAGCGGCTGCTGGGTCGATCTGGGCAATGGGTGGGCTTGAACGAAGCCCAGAGAGAAGGAGCGGTGGTGCAGAAGGGCTCCCAGACTTCTGTTACTGCGTTTTAAGCAGGGCTCTTTCCTCCCGTCCAGTCAAGTGACAGAAATATGGGATTTAAGGTGCCAACAGAAACAGTTTGTCCATTGGCTTCTCCCCCCCCCCCCCAAAGCACCTTACCCACCAGAGAAAGCTGTGCGTATTTAGGAGGGGCAGCCCAGGTGTCCGCACTGGGCACCAGCATAGTACGGGGAAGGGGATGGAGGGGGGTGGGAAACACGCAGCCCACCAGGCCATTTGATTTGGCCCACAGGGCACCTAAATATTACGTTTTCTAAATTTTTTATCTGCCCCAGCTGCCTGTCATGCAGCCCTTGCTGGCTTGCCAAAACTCAGTAAGCAGCTGCCTACCCCTGCTCTAGAGTCATTTTGAATTTTAGAAATTACCCCCCCCCCAAAAAAAACCCCCAAACAACAAAAAACAGCAAAACCCAACAGTTGAATTCTTGCCCCAATCCCAATAATCAGTTTGTGTTATAGGGGCACTAGTGCAAACCACTTGCGTAGGCAAAAAAATTAATACAAACCAAGCAAGCAAAACTCTCCCTAGAAAGCAAAGGTCCAAGGCCGTGGTGGAGGGAGAAGTCACTCCAATCATTAAGCTGAATAAAACACTACTAACCTGGATGTTTGCTCCTTTGAGAGATTCCCTGCGATGTGACCCTTGCAATGAAATTTCAAGTACTGGCAATATTTGCTTATTGTCAGGCTTTCCCCAGTTCCCAGAGACAAGTTACACAAGATGCTTGACTTTAATTAATTAATTAATTTTTTGATTAGTTTCTGACCCTCAGAGAAACACAGGAGCAAGAGGCTCAAGTCTGGAGGGCACAGAAAGAACGAACGCATGAGAACAGGATGGCAAGTCCTGCTTGTTATTTCTGAACACTTATGTAACCACACCGCACGCTCACTTTTGGTGTAAAACTCCTGGAAGAAATTAGGAACCTCAATTCAAGCCTAATTTTCTCCCCCTCCTTTAAGATTTCTTGTGAGAAAAACTTGGAAGCTGTGAATATCATTTGAAACCCAGAGTGGCCTGGGCTGCTGGGCTATTTAAGCTCTGATATGTGGTAGCCAACGGGTAGGACACAAGCAGTTCATGGGGGTGGTGGGTGCTCTCTAATCCCAGACAGCATCACTGCCTCAGTCCCGTGTCATAGGCCTCAGGCAGGGACCCAGTGACATTTTGCTCATGCCACAGGGCAGGTTGGGGGAGGAGGGAGCTATGCTTCTCAAATGGGTGGGAAAGCTCTTACCATGGCAGCAGCAGGAACGGGTATCCAGTGGGCTGAGTGCCCAGCATCAAATTCAGCTGTTGACAGAGGACAGGTTTATGTTGAGTGTCCTGTTTGAAGGTGATGCCTTGCTGAAGTCGGGGCTGTGGGCTGGAGGCCAGGCTGGGCCAACACCATAGGAGGGAGGACAGGGTAAAGGTGCAGGGGCTCCCAATGGATGCAGCAGTATTTTACCTGACACCTTATAACTCTTTAGTCCCTGTACCCCTCCTTCCCCACCACCTCTCCTGACCTCTCTCACCTTTCATATGTTAATTCAGAGGCAGGCCCAGTTTCTTGCTGCTCTTCCTGCTCCTCACAACTGGCTCAGGAGCTCCTCCCTCCTGCTCTCGAAGGTGGAGACACAATGGAGCCCCCCCAGCTCCTCAGAGAGGACTGGGGGGGACTGGAGGCAGCTCAGACCCCTGGATAGTTCACTCCATCTCAGCAAGGGGCAGAGGAAAGACAAGTGAACATAGCACAGCACTGACAGAGCACCAAGCATGACCAAGGGCACGTCTGTGCTTGAAACTCGTGTGCCCACGATGGCATCATGAACATGCATTAGCACTGCCCTGTTATGCAGTGGCTCAGGAGCCTTTGCTCTGCATTATTTCAGCCATGGAGCATCACAGGCTGGGAACAGATATGTCCTTGAACCAGTTGTGCCCATGCTTGTCCTGGAAGAGAAGAGCCCCAGGGTTGGCTCATACACACATTGCCCTTCCAATCGGGGTTTACTGCAGCGCTCAAGCAGGGTCCTGGTGCACCCTGGGGTGCCACCATATCTTTTGAAAGGTGCTGTGAGATGAGCAGACAAATGCAGGGTCAAGCTTGTCCCTGCCTGGACAATTCCCCCATCCCCACTGCAAGAAAGTAAACACTGTAAGCCATAAATTATTTTTTGAAGTTATGTGCAAAGCTACATGCTTTTGTGTGGGAGTCTGGAAATTAGACTGGGAATCTGCAAGTTAGGGAGAGCTCCCTCGAGTCCAAAAAGGTAGAGAACAACTAGTTTAGTGAGTAGCTGAAAGCACTGCTGCTTTTCTGCCAGTGGAGTCAATGATGCAATCCCAGGATTACTCTTCAGACGCACTTTATCTTGGGACAAACTGTTAGTGCTTCTTAACTTGTGAACCTTTTTTGTTTTTTTCCTGCGAAAACAGACATGGATACCTGAAAGATCACAGCACCCAGGATAAAATGGTTTATCCAAGGACAAATGTGATATCTGAATGTGTTGCAAAATAAACAAAAGTCTTGGGCCTCCATAATATGCTGCATCTACTCGGGCACAGCCAAGGGTGCATTTGTGCTCCCTACTTCCAAGCCACTTGGGAACAGTGCATGCGCTTTTGTATGAGGTTTTAATTCAGACTCCCACACAAAAGAACATAGCTTTGCACTTCGCAAAATGCACTTACTGTGAGGTGTGGAGATTTTAATATTGAGCAGGAAGAACTGAAGACCTAACCTCTAACAATGTTACACTAGGCCTTTCTCCCACAAGAAAGTGAAGGCTGTTTTTTAAAAAAGAGGCAAACCAGGAAAATACGGTTTGTCACCATATGCCAGGAGGGTGCTCAGAGCTAATGAGTGCCAAGAGCTGCAGTGCCATGCCAGGTCTGTTCAGAGTTAGAGCACTTTTGGTTTACATTCCTGGTTTTGATGCTCACAAAACCATGCACACCACACTGCATAATAGATAATTCTGCACCACTAGGATAGAAGGCAACATGAATTGGTTTGGATAAGAACTGAGGACATTAAACAGGAAACCAAATAAATGGTTGTGTTTCTACTTTTCTGTGTCTGCCACAAAAATAGAAGCACCTTTCTTTAAGACAGTCATATTGTGGTGCTGCTACCTTAGCTGGAAGGAGGGGTGGGAGGTTGGGAGGTGGCCAGAGAGCATGACCCACCCAGAAAAACTTCAGTGGTTGTAGGTTTATGGCCCTAGAAGGAAAAAATATTTACACTTTCCTCTACAGCCATCACTTTGGGCAAATCTGGAAATCTTGAAATCTGGAACCACAAATAGCTGGTCCTGGCCTTTAAACCACAAGTTAAAAAAGATAGGCTGATGTAGGTAGCCAGCAAAGCAGTATGGGAAACCAGGGGAGGATTTTATAGGTGCACAACAATTGCTTCACGGTAAAAATGCATCCATACCCATTTGGTCACAGGTAGACTTGGCCTACATCTCAGGACCGCTTGCAAACCGCTTCCAAAATGGGTTTTAATAGTTCATTAAAGGACACCAGACAGATTTCACTACAAAATCAGTCACGACAGTCTCAACTGCACACTCACAGTAACAGCAACAAATAAACAAGCTATCCCAGTTTTAAATCTTCTGCATTTATGCTAGGCAAAAGCAAGCACACATTTTGCAGTATTTTTAGTCTCTCACATGCAAGTATCCTCTCCTTAATGAATGTACCACAAACTACAGAGAGAACTAATCAAGACTTCTGCCCAAGAACTGCTCTACACTGACAGTATTAGTCAGTCATACTCAAAAATACTAGCCAACACATCTCTCTCAGGAGATGAAGTCACACCATCACCAGACTCACGAAATCCCCCAAGGGTAGAACAGTTATCTAGCTAGGAGTAGTGCTTTTGTTGGCATTTGTTAGTCAAGGACCTGGAACAAGGTATGTCTACTAAAGAGCTGTGCTAGTAAGATGATATTTCAAGGTTTTTATAATGTTAAGGAAAGACCTCAGTCAGTGGCCAGATCTGAATATGCCAAAAGTAGGCTAAAAAGCCTAGATAATTACAGCTAAAACTCATTAGTGATGATTTTAGGAAGTCTGATGAATAGCTGCAAGTGTCAGTAAATCATAACTACGCAGGACTCCTAAAGCAAGCCATGCTGTTATGGCTCCAACACCACTGAATTATTGCAGACTCTAAAATTATTTCCTTTATATATTTTAAGTATACTAGCTCTTGGTTTGACAGACTACCTGGCTTCATGGCACAAGACTGGTGATTAGAAGATGGATCTGAATTAGTCACTATTCTGAATACTTCAGATTTCCATCCGGCTAAATAATTTTATATTTTTAACATTCAAAATTTCATTTTCATCCTATTTCCATGACCAGTAAATAATGTTGCTTTCAACTGATTAAGTTGCAAAAGACTGCACAGCTCTTCCTCTATTTTAAATCCAAACAAGCTTTGATTTACCTTACATTAGCAATAGACAAGCTAGATATGAATAAACCAC